TTTTCAACTCTATTGAGATAAAAAAATTTCTTATCTCTACAAAATGGATGTTTAGGAGGTAGAAATTGACGATGACAATCAAAAAATGATGTTTTCCTCCCATATTGAAGTTGAAAAGCCTTGGTGTTCTCCATGCAATAAGGGCATGACAACTTCCCATATGTGCTCCATCCAGATAACATGCCATAACCTAGAAAATCACTTATAGTCCATAGCAATGCAGCTTTCATGATAAAATTCTGTTGTCTAAAACTATCATAAGTTTCAACCCCATTTATCCACAATTCCTTAAGTTCATCAATTAATGGCCTAAGCATGACATCAATATTTTTTCCTGGACTTTTAGGTCCAACAATTATCATGGTAAGAAATATATACTCCGACTTCATACACAATTTAGGAGAAAGGTTGTACACTATAAGAAAAACAAGCCAACAAGAGTAAGGTGTTGTAGAGCAACCAAATGGATTGAAACCATCTGTATAGAGGTCAAGTATAACATTTTTAGGTTCATCAGCAAATGTTGGGTGGGTTTCATCAAAGTGTTTCCATGCCTCACTACTTGTAGGATGAATAACTTCATCCGCATCCTCACGGCATTTCAAATGCCATGTCATGTGCTTTGCTGTTTTCTTAGACATGTATAGTCACTGCAATCTTGGGGTAATTGGAAGTTACCACAAAGATTTCCTTGGAACATCTTTCTGCCTTATAATAGACATATTCCTCGGCTCATAATGGGATTCTCCACACACTAGATAAGCAGTTAAATTCTCACTTTGCTTATTGTAGTACAAGAAGCAATCATTGACATAAATATCAATTTTCTTGTACCCAAGTCCAAGCACATTTATCATTTTTTTGGCGCTATAGAAATCCTTTGGCACCTTTTCTTGGTCCTCTGGACTCAACAACTTTCAACTCAATGACAATGTCATATCCCAATTAGCATCACTCATATTATAAAGAGTTTTCATGTTTAGCATTTCTGTCATCTATGAAAGTACTGTAACATCTTATCCCCTAGCACCTATATGAACTTCTGCAGCATGCAAGGGATCATAAAATTCTCTTACCTTACTATTTGGCTCCTCAACCATTGGCCCTTCATTGTATTCAGACTGTGCACCTATTGCATCAACTACCATTTCATGCTATGATGCATCTACCTCATTTCTAACAAACTCCATATTTGAAGATTCCCCTTCAAAGTTTCTTACTGTATTGCTAGATGTCTCTCCATGAACATACCATGTATAATAGTTATTCATAAACCTATGCTTACACAAATGCACAGAGACAACCTTAGGATTCCCCCATTTTCTACATTTATATTTCGAATAAGGATACTTAATCTCTGATTTTGCTTTCGATTTTGAAAATGAAAATCTCACAAAAAATTGCACCCCCTCTTTAAATTCATCGGTAACAAAACCACTATTATCTATACGACAATCTCTCCAACTACAGTCGTTCATCATTTAATTACCTAATTTGAATTTTAATTTGACAAAGTATATTAACATATCAACTAATAACCATACATGTCAATAACCACACATGTTAATCTTAATCTTAATAATTTTAAATTAAATTTCTTTATGTATATAAATTCAATATATAAAAATGCTACTATATTTCAACAATCATACATATATTAATCT